TGTTCTATAGTTTGATTCTCATTTGTGTCAGTGTAATCAGAATAAGGAAAGATTCAGTGAATGCTTTAAAAATGAGAGAAATCATTTGGGGAGAAAAATCTTGAATACAGCCTTGATGAAAATGATAAGAAGTCTGTTGGGTCTGATAAACCAGGTTTTTTAGTCACAGATCAGTTCATCTGGATGTAGGTAAGTAACACTTGGAACATATTTGTTACTACTTCTGTTTTCTCTCATGACAGACTAATAGACCAGATCTTCTCTTTGGCCAGTGAGAAATTTGTTTCCTTCCAATTTTGATGGCATTAATGCTTTGTCACTCTCTCCAACTGTGCTAAGACTATATAAGTCCATGACTAGAATTTCATACCTTCTGGTTCTGGACCCTAAATTTTTTATTTATTTATTTACAAATTTTCTTTTTTCCTACTTATGGACAGCAAGTGTTTCCTTTGAAGCTCCCACATGATTTTATTGTTGCTTGTCATAAAACCCGCTGGTCATTCCAGGTCAAGAATAAAATCATTTACAGTCCACTTCACTATGGACTGTGGCTGTCCTAACCAATCGAATTGGAACCTATGAAAATATGTTTTAGGACATCAAGGTTTGTAAAAATTTAGAAACGACTTCTCTCATGGATTCAATGCAAAGATTAAAATATTTCATCCTGTAAAATAATAGCATCATTATGTTTATTCCAAGAAAGAAATGTCATTTTGAAAAGAGCCCAGTTTTTCATGAGTAGATGCAATTGGTGGTTGCAATTTGAAATAATAGTAATAAATTCCATATGAATCCTCTGTCTATAATTAATGTGTCTAATTATTTTGCTCATAAACAAAAACATTTTGACAGATTTTGGTGAAATTAATCCGACATAGATTTATAATCAATTCAATTATTAGTCAAATCATAGAGTATGAAATGATGGTACATGTTTTGACAGTTGCCTGTGAAATGTGACATATCTACTGTAATCACATTCAGAAAGATGTTTGATTGGGAAGTTCTCAGAATGAGTGCTACTGGGAAGACATGACAAGTAATTATGCAAATTGTAATAAACTAGTTCTTTATAGCAGAAAAATAAACATCTTAATAGACATGCTAAATTGTTAGCAAAGGGTGTTTGTTGGATGTATAAGAAGCTAAAAACTATATGACGAAACAATAACAAATTTTCTCTACCCAAATGCTGTAGGCAAATACTAGCAACATCTGCAGGATATTTTTTATCATGGCTTTCTACAACATCCTGTTTTTTGTTACTTTTCCACTTCACCAACCTCCTTTGTTGTTGTTCTGCCATCCATTTATTCAAACACAACTGTTTTCTTCTGTTTCGCTTACCTTCAATGTGCCTTGTGACTGTTAAATTCCCCAAGTCTACTTTCCTTATTATGTGTCTCAAAAATTTTACCTATCTCTTTCGAATTGTAAACAGCAATTTCTTTGTATTGCCTATTTTTCTTAAAAATTCCTTGTGATTTACATGTTCTGTCCATGGTAATTTCAGTTACCTCAAGTTTCTTCATCATAAGCAGCATTCACTGCCATGAGACATAGCAGGTCAGCATATTTTTCTTTCTTTCTGAGGATATTTTCCTATATTTCAATACTGTGCTTAGTTTCTGAAAGGCATTTTTTACTATTTCATTTTCAATTCAGATTTCTGCATCCTTATTTTACTTTTCTTTCTATTTTTGCAAGCCTTAGATTTTCCAAGCCTTCTTTTCTCATTATGTATCCTAGAAAATTAAATTCTCTGATTGTATGTATAAGTTTCTACTTTTCTTGAAACTTCCCCATTGTTTACATGTCCTGTCCAGGGTATTCTCAGCATCCTTCTGTATAACCACATCTTTCTTGTCTCAAGTCTCTCCTTCATCTGTGAGGAAATTATCCAGCATTCACTGGCATATGGGAAGATTCATATTATATAATAGTTCAGCATTCTTTTCTTTGGTTTTATTGAAATTTTCTTGTTCCTTAATATATTGTTTAGCTTTTGGAAGGCATCTTTCACTATTCTAATATGTCTTTGGGTTTCTGTCACATTTTCTATCATCTGTTAAAACACTTTAAAGATATTTAAACTTCTGTACTTGCTTTGATTTTGACCTCTACAATTCGTAGACTGAATCTTGCTGATAATCATACATTCTGTCATCTTACAATTATTGGTTAGACTTTGCTTCTTGCTTTTCTTTACTATTTTGTCTAGGAGGTCCTGTAGTTTTCTTGCTGTATCTGTCATCAGTGCAGTATCATCTGCTTCACAGGCACCTGATGAAAGCTAAAGTGAATGGCACTCTTTTCTTTGTTTCTAACAAAATTTTCCTGTTTCTTGACACATTGTTTAGTCTCTGATTTCAGTGTCACATTTTTCCTTTCTCTTTTAAAACACTCCCCAGATATTTAAACTTCTGTATTTGCTGGATTTTGATATCTCCAATTCAAAGTTTGCATCTTGCCAACAACCATACATTCTGTCGTCTTATAATTGATGGTTAGTCTTTTGTTCTTGCTTTCCTTTACTATTATGTCTCAGCGTTCCTGAAGATTTTGTTATGTTTGCCATCAACACTATGATATCTATATATCATATATTGTTAAGACAGTTAATAATAAATTCTAGTAGGACTTCTAGTTCTCTTAGGATCACCTTGTTGTAAAGGTAAATAAATCCAATGAGAAGATACATCCTAGTCTTTTCCTAATTTTTTTTTAAACATGTTATTTTCTTAGCTCTTCGTTTTAAGCCAGTTATTTATCAACTTATTCAAGATTGTATCTAAGTTGGCTAATTATTTATTTAGATAGAATAAGCATTATACTGTAATAAGATTCTCTTAATTAGATTGATAGGTGTTTCAAAGGCTGTCTAACTTGGAGTTATATTTTTTTTCTCTTGGAATATCCACAGATTAATTAATAACACTTCGATATTAAGTATGAAGGTGATTTTCTCCTTTATACAAATTTCTTATTAAAAAAGAGAATATTTGTAAGTGAGCATGTAAGTGTTTATATTTATAGGTGAGCATCAGCGTGTATATATATGTATGTATAGAGGAGTATAGCATATTTTTTTTTTTCTTTTTTAGAATTTAAGAAACTTACCCAGTTCTGATCATTCTGTGCACCAAAATTTGCCTGTGGGCTCATCCACTTCATTTATAGATTGGGGAAGCCTGAATTTTGGCTTCTCCCATTCTGATTGGGGTGGAGTGCCTGTGGACAAATTTGATTGGAAGAGAGCTGATTTGCAATTTTTTAGGGTTCCAAAATCTGTGATTGATATTTTCGCATGGCTTGTTGCATGGTCACATATTGGTATTTGATCACCACCAACAGAGTAACCTGAATGAAACCCAAAATAAACCCAAAACTCTTAAGCATCCCAGGGAAACATTATTGATGATGTGGTGGCGGTCATCTTACAGATGCATTTCTAAACGTACTTTGTTTTCTGTCAGTTCAAAGGTAAAAGCTTTATATTATTCCATTATCTTTCCCAAATAAGTTAAGTTTTCCTATCAGTTCAAATAGGTCTTTGTATCATACCTCTGAAATACAAGTATACATCCATCTATATTTGTATTGCTCACTTAGATATCATTAGGATTATAAATATTGTATTTTTTCTTCTAGTGTCTTTTATGAAACCACACTGTTCTTACTCTATTTCCAGTCTACTATTAACTAGGATTTGGATGATAAGCTTAGTTATGTGGCTCTTAAGCTCTTTGTGTAATGGAGCTTGCATTCATTTACACCTGACAGCACTATGAAGATGGATCTATTAAAGTCTTTCCGTATGTTGCCACTGTCAAAGATTTCATATATAATTTAAAAAAAAAAACAAACTGAAATATTAAACAATAGTCAAATTAATGCAGTGTGCAGGGTTTGACTTTTCTTATCATATACAAATTAGATAGACAAGTATAGAGAACAACTGGCAAACATAGGATGGCTATGCCGAGCAAACCCAGAGGCTATTGAGGACAGAGAAAACTATACCACAACCACTACTATGTAGAGAGATATGCAAAACATAACACTTATCAAAATGTTTTTCCCTAAAAGTATTTTAATTTCTGATTTATTAGTTATGTTCATTTTCATTTTTTCTAAAGCAATACTATGATTTTTGTGAATGAATTTTCATTGAGCAATATCCCTTGTTTATCTCTAGCAAATATCATGTGCCTCAATCTTTTAATAATATATTTTATTTCAACAGTGAATAGAACAATATTGAATTCAAACATAATGCAATTTACCAAATGGGTAGAAAATGATGTTTGCAACATCAATAATTTGTATTCTCTATCTATTTGATATAAAGGAATTGGAACAAATTAGAAGTTTCACATGCAGTCTCTTCGGTCAATGTCTGAATCCACATTACGAGTTTGCAGCACTGACCTTGAAATTTTGAAGAGTGCAAATTTGACCAGTATCAAATCATGGACCAAATCTGATGAACTGGCAATGTCATCTGGATGGAGCAACATTGCATTCCCAGATGCATGTTGTATGGAGAGCTTCTATGTGGCAGAAGATATCAAGACTGACCCCCAAAAAATGGTACAAAGATGCAATCAAAACTAACCTCCACAAGTTCAAGATCAGACCAAAGGAGCTAGGGTAGTGTGCTTTCGATTGTCTGTGTTGTTATGCCATTGTCCACCACACTTCTAGAAACTTTGAAGAAGCCTTGCATCAAAAAAGAGTACCACCATAAAACAGTGTCATTGGTCACAACTACTGACTTTCAGTGCCCCTACTACTCCAGGCTCTATGTGTCCAGACTTGGTTTATGGAGTCACCTGCAGATCCACTGATGAATTAGAAGACTAATCATGACCTATTTGATCTATTTGATATCAATATTGCATATAATTAGAACTATTCTTTTTCTTCTCCTTTTTTGTGTCATACCCTTTCAATAAATTGGAGGTCATGTCTCTCCAAAACTTCCTAGGGCTTACAGCCATATTATGTTGAAACACTGGTCCCTATATGATCACCAAAGTTAAGCAACATCGAGCTGGGTCAGTACCCAGATGGGTGACCGCTAAAGAATACCAGGTGCTGTAAGCTAGGAAGTACATGTAGAGTAATGGATAATGACTTGGAATTGGTAATCAGAGATCTGAGTTTCAATTCCATTTGGGTTTGTTATATTCACTGATGTGCAAATATGCTTGGGAAAAATATGAATCCACTTCTTCTCCTCCAGCTATGGGTTAATTAATAAGACTTGCATTCCTAAATCATTATTATTCCCCCACAAAAAGCATTCTTTACTACCTTATCTAAGAACTATTACGTTCATTAAATTCTTCAATATTGAACTTTCCAAGAATAATAAATAATAAGATATTTTTGTAACTTTTCCAAACTGCTTTGCAGTCATTTGGAAAAATTAAAACTTTGTCTTTTTGATTGTTTCAAAATATTTTTATTCTAAAAAACACAAACTTTTTACTTGATTTCATATTAGAGTTGTATTTTATAACTTTGGATTGTTGCTGTTAACTCCTTGAAAGAACATAACAAACACATGTTTACGAAGAGATAAAACTTGTGTTTGACTGATTTTATTCATGTACAAGAGCAGAGAGAAGGAGAGTTGGGATACATAAGGAGGCAGGAATCATGTTTCTAAATGCTATGTAGGGAGCATGTATTAAATGATACTGTAAGGTAGCATACATTAAATGATAATGTAACAGTTGCAACAGTATTTGTATAAAAATATTAAGATATCAATATTTGTTTTACTGATAGAAATATTTGACAAGCATAAATAACAAACATGTAGATTAAATTTAAACTGGCAAAAATCCTTACTGTGAGTCAACTCTAAGTGTCAAATGTTTTCCTAACATTTGTTTACAAATTATAATTGGTGAGACTAATGTAAAACTTTGCACACAAAAAGACAACCACTTGATTCGTCAGTATCTCCGCAGTATTTTTCCTTAGTCTTGGAAAATCTCTAAGCTCCGAGAATGAGTTATTAAATGGTAGTTACTAAAGGGAGAAAAACCCAGATGTAACTGGTGTTGACAAACATGGCCGCATACAATCCAAGGCATCTTTTGTGTCTGTACTGATGCATGTTCATCACAAAACATTATAGGAATGGTAATATTATTTGAAAAGAAATGAATCAGTTTTCCTTAGTAGTTTGTCCTACTGTCAAATATCTTGGAAAAATGGCTTATCAATATTATGCTATGATATGAGCAGAGTCCATCATTTCATCTTGCAAAAGAATATAGATTTTTTTTAAACAAACAAGTGAAAAATATTACCTCATTCAGAATCCTTGCAAATGAAAAGAACTCAGGATAGTTATTATAGAAATAAACAATTCTACCTGTTATGAAATGGAATCAGAAGTCATTACATCATGTGCATGTAAGCACACACACACACACACACACACACACACACACACACATTTAATCAGTAAATACAAAGCTTATCAGTTTCTCAGGGGTATTCAATCATCTTTTCACTAATTTATGGGTGTTGTAATAATTTTTTAAAGCCAGAATGAAATTATGAAGTAAATGAAGAATTTGAGAAAAATAAATGCAGTTATAAGATTCTGTTGTCGAAATGAATATTGCAGAAAGCATATCTCAACAGGTATCATTTCTTAACTATATCTGACCTCATTTCTGAAAAAGAAAAATATAATTTGCAAAGGTATACCTAAATTTGTGTGCTTTAATTTAAATTTAAAGAAAAATTGCATTCTGGATGTTGGGAAACCTGTAGAAAATAGCATAGTGTTGTAAACTTAATAGGATTAGTATAGGAAACTGTAACTATTATTTTCTGTACAGATTTGTGACATGAAAGAATAGTGTGGACTTTAGTTAGCTTTGTAAACAGGTATTAGAAGATTGGGTGTGTGCAACAAAGAGGAAGAAGAATGGAAAAAAAACTTTTGAATAATTCAATTATTCAAAGAAAAAAATAAATGAAGACTTGAATAGATGAATGAAGTGAAAGAATGAATGAAAAAAATATTTCTTTTAATTCAATCCTGAATATAAGGAAAATCCACAGGTTCCCAATTAATGAATGCATTTCAGCATTCCTCTCCTTTGGAGAAGAAAAAAAAAAAAGAAGCAGTGAAAAGACATCAAGCCGTTTATAGTGTTGGGTAATGAAGAATTCTAGCTTGTCTCTAGAATACAGAACCAATCAAAGAAAAGGTTAAAGCTTTATCAGTTTGAAGAGAAGAATGTAAAGAATTATCTTAGAATTCTGGAGGAACCATTTTTATATCCTGTAAAGGAATGTTTTTACTATTGTACATTCCCCATACCACAATTTAGCTGGTCTAAGATTTTAAAGGATTTCTGTGAATTGGAATTTAAAGTATTTCTATTTATAGAAATAAATAATGTTTTAGTGTACTAAATATTTTTTTTAATTATTCCAAACTAAGCAATGCAACAAAGCCACTAACATGCAGGGGGTTACTGAGTGTGAAAGAATATCAGGAAAAACATTATTAAGGTGCAAGAACAATAAAAGAAGAATTAAGGAGACAAAAGATAACAATTGACATTGCATTTAAATTTTTTAAAATCAAACTGAAAATCAAGACAGAAGATTGTTTCACAAATGAGAAGTACAAAGAAAGAAATTGTTAGTATTGAACTTATGGTTACATCTAACCATTTTCAATTGTAAAATGATGGTATCAACATTATGGATGAAAAATAGTGAATTTTATATTCTGTGTTTTAATTGAGACTTAGCATGAGCAAAACAAATTCACAGATTTGGATGAAAAAAAGACCCTAGTATGGTGTCAAAATCTGTGAAAATTTTTCTTCCTTTACTAGTCAGTTGTACTTTGTTTAATTTGTAACATGCATAAATGTAAGTAGAAAAAAGCAAATGTTGGCAAGATAGCTAGAATCACCAAGCACTGCCCAGGGTCCCTAACCAGGCTTGCCACCCACTGTCTGGTTAGGGGGGACCATGCACTGGCCCTGGTTATTAGAGGAACAGGAAACTATGAAGAGCCATGATCACCTAACCTCCTTAAAGAACTTGGCAAATAAAAAAAGATATTAAATTATTATTTATTGTTCATTTTTGTACCATATTTTTATAATCTACTTCATATTACTGTAGTATATTAACATTATTTGCTTTATACTTGGATATATAGAATTCTATTTCATAGAATCTTGAGGAATACTTTTTTCTCTTCTCTTATTTTAATTACTAGTGAATGAACATAAAATGGACTGTCATTCTTACAATTTCCTCTATTTACTCAATAGCCACATTATTTTTTATTACGGATAGAGCAATAAAAATTTAAGTGGTCCCATTTTGTTTGCCTACTTTGGACCTTATTTGAAAAATTATTTTGAAAGAGGCTGTTTTTTTATTCATTTTAATGCTGTATCCTTTATAATAATAATAATAATAATAATAATAACAACAACTAGTATATATGATGATGATTCATTTACTATGACATCCAGTATAAAAATAAAAGAAAAATGTTCATATATAGTGGACTTTCCTGTTGTATTCGACATATGAGAGTCAAGCAACTCAGTTCCTAGTAACCGACAGCCAAACACCAGCACATATGATTTGATTATGGTGGTGAAGGCTTTGTGCAGAACCAACTACACTTTTTGAAGGGTCAAATACAGAGACCTGGTGCACTATGTGCCACAAGGTCCCCAAACGACTCTCTGCAGGTTTTGAATTCAGAGTTGTCCTTCTCCTAGACCAGTTGGCATCCAAGGCTATAGAACCCAATCTGTCCTGCTATTTACCAATAGCTGGAGGGAGAAGAAGAGGATTAATACTTTTCCCAAGGGTATTAGCCCATAAATGAATGTAACGGATTTGAATTTGGCTCTCTGATTCCTCAATCCGAGTTGCTATCCACTACTCCACTGTGCCTCCCATATATATATATATATATATATATACTGTGATGTATGGTGGCCATTAATAATTAAGTATAACTTAAGACTTCAATGTTAAATAAAATAACATTTAATTACAATCGCAAATAAATACTTAACAAGAACAAAGAAGTAAAAGTCAACCAAAGATAATTAACCATTTCAGTGAATATTTTGTTGGTAGCACAGCTCAGCTTAATTTCTGGAAAGTGCCCTGATTGCTAGTTCAGCCATAGTAAATTTGTGTCCAGGCTTTTAAAATATATCACCATTCTTGGTAGATTTTCCGTTGTCACAATATGGGATAGTCAGAAACAAAGGTGAGAAAAATAAAAAGAATCTAGATGAATTTGGCTAGATAGAAAAAATATCTTTTCAAAAATATTCTTTAAGAATTGTAAAACTGCCAGCATCTCTCATTTCACATGCATGTGTAGACATAAAAATATCAACAAAGCCTACTCTGATGAGATCCTAATGGAGGAAATACATCACAAAATGTTTTTTACAATATGTCATAGTATTTTTTAAAATACTGCTTGTTGATATATAAAATTATATATCTCTATATTATATGTATATATAACTGTGTATTTGGGCAGCAATTGATCATCTTAATTAAAAATGTCTGAGAAGGTACTGCAGTTAAGGTTTTTATTTAATTTTTCTTGTTCTTATAATTTTTCCTCTTATGGACATAAATTCTGTGGAAATTGTCCAAATGTTCTGTATGTCTGAGTGCTTTTGGTTATAATTTTAGCAATTGTCAAGGATGATTTTAGTTGTGCTTTTGGTTATAATTTTAGCAACTGTCAAGGATGATTTTAGTTTTACTTTTAACTGAAGGTATGGATTTTTTTATATATGTATCTAGAATTATAGGAATGTTTTATTTTTCAAATATGGTCAGCACATTGTGGCCATGTTCATAGTTGATGTTATTGAGTGTTGGTTTTTTCTTTTTTCTTAATAATTCTTCCATTATTTTTAGCCTTTTTTTTACATGTGGATGAGGCAATTATTTTTGTATTGTGATCTGCAACATACTTACTGACAATACAAATATAATAGACTCATCCATATGTATCCCTCTTGTAGGTATATATATATATATATATATATATATATTTAA